AAACAGTTGCCGTCGAAGTCCTATAGTCCATATTTTCACGTGGACGACACAGAACTTTCTTTTTTTTCATGTACTATTTGTTATCAGCTTTATCTTGCCGGTACGAAAATAGGCGCACATGGTCGGGCCATTGAATGAATAGCATAGGACATTTTCCTTATCGATAAACAAAATTAATATCATTCTGAAATAACACACCAAAATTAACTTCTGCAATTTAATATAATAATAAAATTTTGCGTTTTTTATATATATATATATATATATATAATATATAATTATTATATAAATATAATATTAATTATTAAATAAATAATATTAAATATTATATGTATGTAACAAATACACGCTTAATACAAATTCTGTTTAATTTATTTTATGTAATTTAATTCCAGCATTTATTTTGCGTTTAATAATATGTGATCTCTAAGGATTTGCATGAAAGAAATAGCATCAGTTAAGATAATTTCTGAAAGTAAAACGTATCAGAAAAGCGAAATGGACAAGTTGTCTTGAGAATAATAAATTCATCTTATAAATGAAATGACCACGGAAATGCAATCGCTGATTATCTCTTGATTATCCCTTTTCGTCTTAATCTTCAATAGATTGTAAAAGATTGCCTGAGGTACTTTAATTTTTTGATGTGAATTCAGATAAAAAAGCAAAGAGCAGCATATTATTATATATATGCAGCGGAACTTAATGTATGACTAACAGAAAGGGACGAGTGGCACGTTGCAATTAAAGCTGTAAGAAGATATATCTCATCCGCATTGTGATGTCAACACACATTGCTCATTTACATATTACAACTGCACTTTCTTCACCGGCAATTAATCTACATTTTCCTTTATATATGTCTACTTATATTTTCGTGGCTGTCACTCCAAAGAAACTAAACTAGTCATATAAAAATTATGTCAACAGATGTATTGCTTCTTGTATTCTTTTCTTAGAAGTATCGTATCTTTATATGTACAAAACGATATAATCTCCTTATATTTTACGCAATTTCTATTATTTATTGCATTTGAAATGATATAATTATCTTAATAAGTTCTCTGTCAACATAGGATTTAAATTGAAATTGGATTATATATCTAAATTGCAATTAATCAAACAGCTATAAATAAACAATAATTCTCTGTAACTTCGCGCTTATGCCTCGTTATCACTCGCGATGTGATGAAACTGTTTTCATCAATATATATATATATATATATATATATATATATATTATATGCTCATATCAAAGCGGCCTAATAATAATATGTCAGTAACTGGCTTACATTACAGCGTACATATGCTCCACGGTAATAACCGCATTAATAATGCCACCCTCGTCGATAATAATCGTGAAATCACGTACCTTGGCAATATTGCGCCGATCGATTTCGGTTATTCGACGAGATAATACAGAACAATAGCGAGGAATGACATATTCGCTATGTCCTCATTCATTATAAAATTTCACCGACGACCAATGATCTTCTTCTTTGAATGTTGCTCGATAAAATCTCTATGTACACTTGATATTTTAAGACGTGTAATTAGTAGCAAGAAGATCTATCCTTAAATTTCAACGTAAATTGATTGATAATTCACAAATTGATAAAAGCGCGTGAAATGTCATTTTATTATTGACGTTAATCTGACCTCGGAATAATATAACTTCGGCAAACTGCATCTAAGTACATCGTGCGACTAAGTCGAGAAAGTATCGTGACAATGACAAATTAACGCGCGGCGCGAATCACGGTATTTTTTGACGAATACATATTTAAAAACGTTAAAGCATGCGCGCAAATCGACATAAGTCGATCGACAGCGGACGCTACAAAGTTTCACAACAATTACGCGGATAAATAACATTATTAGATGCTAACTGATTAAGTTTTAACTCGATTTCTTTAACGCAGGCGAGAAAGAAAGTGTCTTCTTGTTGCTCCTCAAGCTGCCTTTTAAACTCTTCTTAATCTCCGGAGAATTTCCTTCGAATAAAGTGAGAATGTTAAATGGTCTTTGCAAGCAGTACGTTTTACACAGTAGAAGAAAGAAAGAGAGAGATAAAGGGAAAGAAAAGGTAAAAGAATCATGGAACCATTAAACTATATGCGACTCTGCGATGATAGATACATCTGTTGGCATAAATGGCATAAATCAAATCTAATCATTATTCGAAGCCGCGTATCCGCAACGGCCCGCGAATCCACCTTTGATTCGACATGCTCTGTTTCTCGCTCCTTCCTTTTTATTACTCGTTTCTATATCATTTTTCGTACTTCCGCCGCAAGTTCGTTGCTACAAAATGTGTGATCTCCACGCACGGCTATTGTTCGAGCGCTATGCATGCATCAGAAGGCGCTTCCGGCTTCGCGTATCATTGCATCAGCGCATATGCAATGAATTTTATGGAAGTCACGTTCGTTGCTTTCGTCTCGCAAAAAGAGGTAGTATCTCGACGGGACTGGCAGTTATGCAGTATGTAAAGCTAACAAAAGAAAAATCTGTTTTGGAAGCGCAGAGAACAATAAAACAATCTCGATAAAACAAATTGAGAAAAAATATACAGCGAAATTGTATATTTTGTTCTCAATTTGCGAAACGGTTGATTCGGTGCACAATATAATTAAGCCACTTTATAATGTAATATAACTAAAATGTAAGAGATGTTTGCAAAACATAATTGCAATGTCAATATTTTATTGAAACACTCGTTTTATCATTTTGTTTTTTCAGTTAATTAAATAGGCTACGAATTCAGTAAATATTAAATTATTTAAATTGCACATGAAAATTACGTAGTTTTATGCATGTTTTTTTTTTACATTATATACTAAAAAAAAACATATCGAAACGTTGCGGTTTCTCCAATCGGCGAATGAGAAGGAACTTTCAAACTGAAAATATTAAACTTTGGATTACTCTCAATGCGGCATCTTTGCAATGGTTACATTACGTTACGTTACATAATTACGTGCACAGTTAAACCCGCATTACGATGTTATTAAATTGCCTTCACTGGAATCCAATGCGAGAAACCGGAAACCGATATCGGCTGGCAGTGCTAATAGTGCCGATATGTCGCCAGCATGAATTTCTCAATTCCGCCGTGACACGGCGTAATTATATAATTGTAACGTGATGTAAGTTGGAGTCGCGCGCATTAATTTGCATCTGGCGGTTGTAATCGGGCGATTAAATAAATTGTAAAATTTGTTTACGCTTTTACGGATATACGATTGTGCGATGCGACGACAGCTGGAGAATATGCGAGTTAAAACAATAAAAATATTGATTTACGCCACTTTTGCGTTCAACCCTTCGCTGGCCGATCGTACGAGGACACTTCGTGCGCGTTTTATGCGACAACACGGATGTTCAGCGTCACGTGGAATCGGACGCTGTGGAACCGGATGTAACAGCCTGCCACAGACTGACCATCCGAGTGCGCTTCCGGTTGTAATTCTATCCGTGATCCGTGAATTAATATTTCATCATGGTTGCTTCGCTCTATCTGCATTCTCTATACTCACGCGCTCTCTCTCCTTTTTTTTTGTGGCGCCTCCTTCATCGGCTGATGTTTTATACTTCTTCGCTTTATTCATTTCCTTTTGTTGAATGTTTTCGCGCGTGAGATCGACGGGTCGTAAGGTTAACGACCCGTATCCGCGGAAAATGCTGCCATTCGTATTGCAGTCGGGGGAGGGGGCTCTTTCGACGGAAAAGAATCACGGTGAAATTAACGGTTGCTCGCCCGCTTCAACGTACAATGAGATGCATTAATGGTCTTGCAAAACGTACTTATCACGCTTACTCTATAGGTTTCAGGGCGCTTGCTATTCTCCAGGCAATCAGATGCCGCCTCTATTTTGTTGTTAGATAATTGATCCGACAAAACTCCTACATTGTTCCTACATTGATCTCGCAATTCAATCTTTTGATTGTACCACGTACAATCACACACGGAAGTTTTCAATATATCATTAAAATAATAAGTTCTAAAAATAAGTTAGATTATTTAAAAATTAAATAACATAGATGCATTTGAAAAAACTCAAGTTGCTGAATCACGAGTAGCTGTTTGAGTATTCTATAAGCGTTCGATTGTTAAGCCACAAGTGTTCGACGAAAGTAATCCAAAAGTAATCCATGCACGACGAAAGTAATCCAAAAGTAATCCATTGCGCACGGTAGCATTGCCAATCGCCACGTTTATATTTTCTCTCGATAACGAGGGCGATTTTAAGTTTAGCCACGTAAACCTGCAACTCTCGTACGTGTCGGGGTCACGCCCGTGAAAACGTCCGTTCTTATCTCTAGGAATGTCACGAAGAATCTCCAGTATCTCGCGAAGAACGAAACGAGTGAGTCCCTAGAAACCTGATGAGCGAAATACGATGACCTATATGTCGGTGGCACAATGCATTCACTGGTAAAGGCACAATGCGATACGAAGACCCTCTACAGCGACTCAAAATCAATACGACGTATATCGATGATGTGTCAGTACGCAGACCAGACCGTCTTGCTTTACAATTGACTTCTACGACGGAGCCAAGTGGTCCAGGTGGAGGAGTCGGGGCCGAGTCACAAAGGACTCGGACTATCCCGCCGATCTCGGAATTGCTTGGGCGGCAGGGTGTGTTCAACGAGAACGGATACATTGTAACTGCATTATACTGCGAGATATAGTTTACTGTATTTATTTCGTTATTCCGGAACGTATCTCTATGCGATTTGAAGCATGTAGAGCTTCCTAAATTAATAGAAATTAATTTATAGAACAACAACGAACGTTTATTGATTTCAAATTCATTGTCAATATACGTCTCACCTCAGGTGATGCACTCGATTTATACACAAATATGCAACAATCACGAGCCAATTACAATTTATTGAAAGTTATCGAAATATATTAAATTAATACTAAGACTAATCTATAGTAATTCTAATGGGACACGAATTCTAATAAAAAAAAATAATCCTTTCATTAGCAGAACGAAAACAGAGCCTTACGGTTAAAAGAACCTGCGTCCCTGGCGCTTTCTGCCAGCGGAAATTCTGGCGGCTATATGGATCCAGACGGCACGGCCATTGTAATGTCATCCGAGCTCTTGCCAGCGCCGACCCCGGATCCGAGAGTGACGTGGAATTACTTTGACGAACAGGGGTGAGTCCGAACGTTGATCTTCCTTTTTATTATTATTATAGCCTCACGATATGCACCTCGAACATCATCCACTCGCTCGCGTATTTTCAATGTCGGTACGAACACTCTTTAAATATTCCGGAGAACGTTCGCAATATTTATTCGGCTGCAGCGAGACTTCCGACTACAATCCGGAGTTGAAACATCGGCATTAATAATTTCGCGTGTTTGGCGCAAGCCTCTGTTATCGTCAAGCTTTTTTGCAACGATCCATTAACTTTTCGCCAGCTAGAAACCGCATCGTATCGCGCAATTTCTCGTACCGGCAGGACATGTCCGCGCATTATTACTCTATGTTGGCGCTGTATTATGTCGGAATGTTTCGTTCCACACGGCATTCGTTGATACTGTTATCCGCAATTATAGCCAACCTTGAGCGTTATAATTGTTATGATTATATCTGATGATTGTACCGACCTCGTGTTTTATAACGTTATCCATTTCGATATGCAATCAAATATACGCGGACCTCAATTCCGGATTTGATGGGAGATTTGAGAAGAAATAACGAGAAAGAAATTCAGCGGCAATAATTTTCTTTGTGCAACAGGTACGTTTCAAGAGGTGGTCTACGTGCAGGCGAAGACCCATACGCGAGGAATAAATTCAATCAGGAAGCCTCCGATGGTCTTCCAAGCAATCGTGACATACCTGATACTCGTAGCGCCATGTAAGTAAATTATTACGTAACATTTATGTCAATGTATTACATATTTATTTACACATATAACTGTACACTATCAGTATTTTACTTGTAAAAACATTTTTAGACCTTACGTACATTAATTAGACGCATGTAATTAAACACATATATTGAATGTATATACAACATATAATACATGTATATACAATAACTCTAACGTATTTTTCATACATATAAATAATTATAAACAACAAATAATTTATTTTAATATACGAAACTGACATGACTGATAAAAAAGAATGAATTCACAGCGGAATTAAATAAAATAATAAAACATAATCGGTGTATTGTTGCTTGTCTCTCTGAACTGCAATATTCATTTGCTTTGTATCATCAATTGACAAAAACGTCGAAGGCATATCGAAGACGATTGCCTAGAGTTACAAAATTGTTTTGTGGAATAAATTCTCGATTCGTGTGTTTGTAAAAGGCGTCGAGACACGTTTCTCGGAATTTTTTTAAAATAATGCATTGACCCGTACAATCGATGAATACGATTTGCTGTCAGACAGTCCCCTCGCACGAGTACGGGATGAGCGAGAAGACGGCAAGAAGAAATAGGAGAAATTGGCCTGTCGGTCGACCTGTTTATAAACTACTATTGGCAACTACGTGATTCTCTCGGCGGATATTATTTCCCGCAAATGATCGGCAAGATCGCGGCATACCGTTGGCAATTCATGCGGTATCATGACAAGCTGTCATACATTCAAATCGCCAAACAGCAGTTACTTCGCCGAAGAAAAGCGGTGAGATCTCACAAATACTGAATAGTATTTAATATATATTTCTTCCCATATAAGTACAATAAGGTAATTGTACTCACTTATTTATGAAGAGAAACTTTCCAGTTATTCGGAAAAGTGATTTCTCGTAAGGAATGTTTTAAAATTGTTATCCATGAAATATTTATTTTATTATAAAAGGATTTTTCAAACGCATTGAAAAAAATAAATTCTATCTTTTGTTAACGTATATATAATCAAAATAAAATAGAAGAAATCCATTTCCGCGTATACTGCTGCAGTACTGTAGTTCCAGTAATTTCCTAGGAAACAAATCCGAGATACATTTCACGTATCAGACATTATATTTTCTAAAAAAGATAATGATGCGATCAGAAATGTATGCGAAATATTAAACATTCAAAAATTTGAAATTCCAAATTTTAAATTTATCTTTCAGCATTATGTTGTCGATGTTACACACAGAAATGCATAGAAACGTAACGAAAATATTTTCTGCATAGGTTTGAGTGCAAAACTGTAATTGACAGTTCTTTTGCGCGATAGGATTGCGAAATATGTACCTGGTGTAAAATTTTTCTGATCCATCTAGGCGCAATCTATCCACGTACGCTGTCTGACAAGATTTGCACGTATACACATATACACATAAGGTGCCTTTTTATATCATGAAAAATTCAAAAGCGGCATGAAGTTCCAATACATTCAGAAGTCAAGAAGTTTGCGTTGCTTCCGAGAAAAGCGATAAAGCTGCGATCATAAATTCCTACCGATACATATAGATCATTGGCATCGTTGTTACATGTCAAACGTGTTAGTTGCCCAAAACGCATCCATCTATAAAAAGTCTCGTGAGTCTGTATTTTCCATGTTCGCAGTCAGTGATGTTTGCAATTGATATAAATTATAGTTGTCACGATATCCACTGTTATATCTCGCTGAAAATCATGCGAGAATCGACTGTTTGTCATAAAGATTAATCGATTACCACTGTGATGTACGTGTGAAGGCATATTAGTATCGTCATATTATTTGCTATGAATCATCGTTTTCATATATATATATATATATATATATATATATATATTAATTTCTCCGAATTTGCATATACTTTATTAAAATGTCATCAATTAAGATATGGTATGATTCACATATTTTTACATATATAGTATAAACAATGTATAATGTTTTGCAAATTGCAAAGTAGATATTATGTTTTATATACAATTTATAGAATTAAATGTTATTACATTTTATCTAGAATGATTAATTAAAAAAACAATAATTAATTAATTAACAGGAGCAATTTGTATAATATTTATGAGAAAAATGTCATCATATTTTGTATTATATTGATTACAAAAATTATAGAATGTAGAAATGCTATCTTATTACAAATGTTAGAGGATATATCGCTGATATATCCTCTTTTATAAAGTTAGTTCTGTGTATTAGGTGTGTATTATTCTGAAAAACCTGTTGAAAAATGTCTTTGCGAATGGATAGAAAAATATTGTGAATCTATATATATCACATGTGAGGTAAATCCCCACTTCAGGAAAATCGACGCAGAAACGTGCTTTGTAGCATTCTGTGCGAGATGAATTTTTGCGCCTCTTTGCTCACGCCGACAGACGTGATCTCGCGAAAATGCAGGAAGTCAAAGCTGGGCGAAGTTGCGCGTTTTAGATGAAAAAGAGATGGTTCTTTTTGCTAAGACGAAGGTCGTGAAAGGGTTTTGACTCGATTCTAACGGTTAACCCGTAAGGAAGAAGCAGTGGGACGACAGGAATTGGGGAAGCAATAGAATTGAGTTTGCAAAGTTTTTTTAGGGGTGGTTCTCATACTTAATGGTATTACTTGCTCTTGTTGACCCTACATCCAATATACTTAATAAAAACGTGGGTTGACTTGAGATGCTCGTTTCGTCATGCGTACAAAAGTACCATCTGTTTGAAATTTCAATTTCTGACAATGGCATAACGAAGAAAAACTTGGTAGCAATCGTATAGGATTGACTTGACCGAAGAAGATTACTTTGTATAGCTTTGTCGTCTATCTAAAATATTTATGTTTAAACGAATTTTAGAACGATAGGAAATTTCCAATTGTTCGCGCACGATAACATATATCCAGAATAATTACACATTTAATATAATTATTCTGTCAGGGAATATTGCACTAGTCAATATACTTTAATCAGAGAAACCATATTGCAATCCAATCCCATAATTAATTAATTCAATATCGACATATCTAATATTGAATACAGCACATTTTACAACATTTTAGTATTGCTAATAGATATGTTCCTAACATTTTAATATTTATTAGATTCTTAAAAAATGATGACGATCTAACATCTTTAATATGTTTTAAATATTAGTACTAATTTTATTCATTTATAACTTATTCTTTAATTACTTTTTATTATTTTTAAACAATATAAAAATAATTATTTTAATTGTTGGTAACAATTTTTTTAGAAAAATGTCTACGATGTCTACGATTTTTTAATACTGCATTAAAAAGGGAAATAACTCATACTTTAGATTATAATACGAAATTGTAAAGTAAGTACGGTTTGATATCAAACGAGAAACATTTGAAAGACCATGCAATTTTATTGGCAAATTTGATTTCTTTCTCCGCTTGAAAAGTCTTTTTACTTTTATCGTCGGATTTAATTTGCTACATTTCTCTCTTTCACGGCCATTACGTCGTATTTCCTGCAAATGAACATAGTCAACGATAATATCTGCGAAATCCTTTAAATACGAAATACCTTCAATGCATGAAACTCACTATTGATGTATCTGTTTGTACTTCTTGACTATGAACGATATTACACAAGAAGCCATTAATTTCACTTCAAAGCGAAGGGGGATTCGTATCAGATTACGTCTGTTTGATTAATTCTGTATAACGTGCTGTCGGAACGGATATTCGGATCCGCGTGAGTTATCGGCTACGATCCGTGACGTAAATTTCGTTTTCTCCCTGGTACCGGTTGAAACGTACCGGGCAAGTAATCGCCTTGATTCCTGATGGAGCAATGTAGAGATTCTGTTAGTTGCGTTGGTGCATGGCCTCATGAATCACAGCGAAGTCTGAGGTCTATATAAACGGTGACTGATGAGATATGGAATATCCGTCATGGATTTTATAAATATTAGCCGCCTAAGATTGAAGGTAAATGCATCATCTGTGCCTTCTCATATGCAAAAAATGCGTTATTAATGAAAAAAAAATATATATATATATATATATATATATATATTCATTTTGGGTATAAATTATTTTTATTTTTAATTTTATGATGAAGAATTATATGATAAAAAGAATTAGGTAGGTACTCGGTTCCTCACATTTACTGTAATGTCCTTTAGACAGCAATTGAGGAATACGATAACGGATACTTGAAACAGGACGTAAATATTACACGATCTCTGTTGAACGATATTGCAAAGCGAATATATTGATTGCCGAGGGACCGGACTTTGTCGCAAAAGCTATTTATTAAAACACTTAAAATTCCATCAGAAATACATGTTTGACTGTAGACGATTCTCTAGATACCATCGTTCGATCACGGCGCTTATTGCTACGTGGTGCATGACATTTGACTCTTCGAGCATCGTTCAAACATTGAACTTTCGCGCGCGTACGAATTGAACTTGTAGAGTCATCATAGTGTTTCGCAAACATAGTATTCGTTATCGATTGCCTTCCTCTCGTAATATCCTCCATTATATTTATCGAATAGAAGATTTTGCGATACTTGGAAGTCGCATACATCATGAAACTTGATGTACCGATCAATATATAATAAACGTATCAGTACACTGCAAATATCGAGATAAGATTTCGAGAAAGGTTTACATGACGCATGTTTGTAAATCCTTCACTTTGATTGAACTTGAAGGTTTTTAAACAGAAAAGACTTTTAAGACTTGGATACGATTTACGCATCAAAATGTTATATGTGAACGCAAAGTAACGTTATCTATATAAATTATAATCAATTTTTTATACGCAAAACTAAAATAGTGGCCTGCGTGCGCAAGTTGCGAGTATTATTTTTCTAAAAATATCATAATATTTTATAAGATTTTGAGATTTTTATTTCGACATGGGTTGCTGTTGTGCGAAAAATTATGGCCACGCCGAAAGTAGTAACCTTCATAGAACAAAACGTCAGGAGAAAAATTATAGGAGAAA